ATATTCAGGACTACATGACATTCTCAGTTAAAAAAATAGGAGTCACAATTAATTGACGATTCCAGAATTGTAGTGGTTAAATCATTTAATGTTCTCTCTCAGCTCATCTTCTCATGCCTACAGCTCTGACAAGAGAGTTTGGCACTCTGTATTCATCTGGGTTGAATACAGCAGCTCAGCTTTCAGATGAAATCAAGTTAGCATCACAGAGTATTCATTACATGCTTGATCTTATGCTTTCATCTGAGAACTCAACTATTCTCTAGAGGGGAAGCAGTATTCCTGACCAGACTCCTGTGGGCTGCAGGTCCACCTTTCTAAGGATCAGAACACAAAAGATGTTTTGTTTGGTTGAAGACAGAAGTACAGCCTTGTCTTGCTGGGACAGACAAAGCCTGTTTTCACTGTCTGTGGTATCTATTTTTCTGTTTTTGTGGGACTGTTCAACTTTTCTTCCATAATTCACAGATATAAGAAAACAGAAATTGTAAAAACTCATTATTTCAAGAAATAGTTGCAAACATGAATGTTTATATTTCTAAACAATAGAAATTTATAAATCCCGGTGAAAAACTTAATCCTGTACCTATTTGAACAAAAAGTGCTGTCCTACACCTTTTATGTTTTGAGAACAGAAAGTAACACCATCCCCTTTCAACCATTTCTGTAGGTACTTGTGAGGGTACCTCTGTCAGGAGGGATTTGTGCTGTACCTATTTCCTCCAGGAACAGGAGGTCTCTGGAGGATCTAACAATTGGGAACTAGCTTTAAGTAAACTCAATTCTGTTAAAATTGGAAGGAAGGGGAAAGGAGGAAGAAAAATAGATGAATCTGGGTAAACATCACACAATAGAATTAATGACAAGCAGGCAGGCAACAGGATGGAGCTGAAGCCCAGCCTCCGAATCCCTAACTCATCACATGCTGCTGGAAAACACCAGACGAACACAGGGGAAAGAGGCTGAAGTTACTGTCCCATACACATTTCACCAGGAGCATTCAGACAAAATCAGGTAGGCACTCTAAATGTTTAATTAGAAAAGTTTCTGCAGAAAATCTCCCTGGAGCCAGAGAAATTGTCAGAAATATGTGTGGCCTGCCTAACTCTAGAAAGAAAATGTAAAAAATAGCAAAAGTGAAGACTAAGAAGTAATCTTAGCATTAAGAGACATAAAATCTAGAGCAGCTATAAGAACCTGAAATAATCATGCGTAAATAATAGAAGCTAAAAGTCTCCTCCACACCTGTCTAGAATGTAAAATGTTTGTTGAAGTGCTATTCCTTCTGAAACATTTTATCTTCTCAGTTTCTACAAATAAGTAAAGCAAATTACCTTACAATAAAACACTACCAGAGTAGAAAGGTTCTAATATGACACTGAGTCAGAGAGTAAGTCAGCGATATCCCTGAGGCAGGAGTGATATGAAATCATAACTTGCATTGACATGGCTTTATGTTTCCTGAAAATAACAAACCTTTACAGTATATGTACTTTGCTCCCTACAGCTTGAAGAAAAAAATGTGTTAAAGAGTTTAATCTCTTGACAGAGCTACAAGGTAAGTGGCTGACAGAAATGCACAGTACTGTGCAAAATATTGTAGAAAAAAATCTCTTCGGACTGGCTTATATTTAAATACTGAGATTAAAAGTTGGCAAGGGACTGTTGAAATCATTCTGGTTTTCAATTGTGACCTTGTGGGGGAGGGTGTGTTCAGTAAAATACAGCTGGGTCAGTGTCAGATGATTTGCAGTTAACAGATAGTGCAAGAATTACAAAGGACCAATATGGCACAAAGGCATCTTTTTAAGAAGAAAAATCTAGGTAGTCCCCTACACATAACTATTTGTAGTTCTAACTGTGATATGCAGGCACCAACAGCAAGAAGAGGTTTATCTTGGAAAAATGCAAAGCACTTGCCACAAAAGTGGCCCAGATTTGCAATAAAGGGCTGAGAACATAAAAAGTACCAACAAAGAAATGAGTCATCCTACTCACTCATCGTTTGCCCCTGTTGCTAAGATTTTTGCATTTAAGTCAAAACCATGCTAAAGCATTTTCACTTTGCAGCTGGTGATGGAGTCAAAGGGAAGTGGCACTGTGTTGTTTACGGAATCTTAGTGATGAGGAGTAACTCCATGATCACTGGGAACTCAGTCTCTTTGGACTCTTGTACTGACATGCAGGTTATGAGGAAATATATATTAAATATGCCCTTTTGTTGGCAAACCAGCAACAACTCGGAGAAGAATGGTGACCATAAAGATTAGACACAAGGGGAGTTAAATTTTGTGCTCTGGTCTGTACAGTGATAAGGGAGGGCCAGATTCTGCTCAGTCATGTCCTAGGAGCTTGGTGAGCATCTGCAGACATTGGCTCTGCATGGGACACCCTGGGAATGGAGGGAGTGAGGCTGTGCAAGCAAGGCAAGCTGCTCCAAGGCAGTCTGCCATCAGAGACAACCTGGTGTAGGTGCACCTCATGGTGCTTACACAGTGTGCTGAACGTCACAGGGCTGTCTGCAGCGGTTTGATATTCAGAGTGAAAAAACAATGGGAAATCAATTACAACATTAGGGAGGTGAATAAACAATGAGGGAACAGGCTAAATATCAGGGAAGGAAATACAGTGGGAAATGTGTGTAAGGTGACATAGGTTAGGATAGGTTTATTATAGATAATTTTACTATTCTGTATGAATTCCCAAGGGTAGGTTTATTAGTAGAAGCAAAGAGTGCTTATATAGTAACATTTTCTCTTGAATGTTAGACGACAAAAGCTACACTGGCATAAAACACTCTTATGGTGATACAGACCGTGTCCACTCCACCAGTCATCACGGTTGCTGAAAAATCAGATGCCTCTAAACTGAAAAAATAGGCTGATACAGAAGTGTGCCTAAATCAAGCCTTTAATTTCCCCAGCTTATTTTAGATTTTGCTGATTAGATGAGATTGTTCCATTTTTTAGTGAACTAGTTCAGCTTCTATCATCTTCAGTTTCCAAGGTTCCAATTTCAGTTTCAATCTTCAGTTCTCAGTGAACCATGTCCTATTTACAATTTATGCTAATTACATATTTGTTAGCTATTTTTGCTGCTCTGAGTATACCCAGTGTCTTAAAAGGTCCTTTTCCAATTATTTGTCTAAAGATCCAAACCAAGAATAAAGATTTGTAAGATATGCCTTGGGATTTGACCTGCTGAGCATAAAAAGAACCAGTGAGGCAGAGACAAAGCACATTTCACTGCTACAGTTATGGGTGTTGAACAGAGTAAAAGATTTCTTTTCTCTCTTGAAGTAGCCTTTTTCTGAAGAATGGCATTGAGCGACCTTCTTTACCCAGACAATCCCAAGAGAAAGCAAGAATTGATCCATTTGCATCAGAAATTGCTCGAGTGCATGTCCACAAATTTCCGTGCAACAAATGAGCTGGTTGGAGTGCTGAATGAACACCTGGGCTGTACCATTTCCCACATTCAGATGAGAGAGAGCAGTACTGTCAAGGAAAACTGTGACATAATCATTCAAGTGATGAGTGAGATTCAGCATCAGGTACAGAAGATTGATAGTGACATGAAGGAAAAGCTCGAGCCAGTGCTGTACCAGAAGCTATATGACATCAAAGAGCCTGAATTGGAGAAAATTGCAATAGCTCAGAAAGTTTTTTCCATTATTCTTGGAGAAGCAACTTCAACAGCTGGGATGGTAGCTATCAAACTTCTTGGCTCCAATCTTTTAACTTTCACTGTGAGCAAGCTCATCAGTCTCCTTGCACAGATTGGGGCATCTGTTCTTGGGGGAATTAGCATTACCATTATTGGCCTTGGCATTGAAATGATCCTCCATGCCATCCTGGGAGCCGTGGAGAGGAATGAGCTTCTGACAGCTGTGAGAAGCTACGAGAAGCACCTGGCTGAGTTTAAAGCAGCCTCAGAAAAGTACCAGCGTGCCATACATGAAGTGACTTCTTTGGTGAGAAAACAAGTTCAGTGAATGAAGTCAGAGTTCTCTCTTCTCCTGTGACAGTGGCTGCAGCAGCTATGCCTGAAGTAACCTTTTTGATTCATTATCACAAATGAACTACTGATGGCTTTTTTTCTTATTAGTGGCAGCAGAGCAAGAGATGTGACAATTCTGGGAACTGGCAATGAAATATATTAATACGAAACTGGCTTATAGGTGTTTCTGGATGGCAATGTTTCAAATACTTTGTACCTTTCCTTCACTATTTTCTGGAATGCATTGTAGATAACCTTGAACTGTAATTCATACTAGTGACAATAATACTCACTGCTGGAGCAGTGGTGGTGAGGAGGTCTGATTTTTCTCTATGTTTCTATATACATATACATATATATACATTTATCATATACAACATGATGGGAGAAAACAATTTCAATAAGGCAATCCATGCCAACATCTGGAGGCTTCATCAGGACAGCTGTGGTTGCTAAACTCTTAGTGTGGATTAGTGCTAAATCTGATAGACTGGATTCCCTGTTCACTGAACTACTTATAAGGACTAGCTGAAGCATATTTAGCTGCTATTTCCTGTCCCATCCCTGCCTAAGGAGCCAGCCAGAGATCTTTAAATAAACTCTAATCCCAGTAGATTGGCAGGGAAGAGAAGCCTGGGCCTACAGGCACACACACACAACCTGGCCCCACAGCTGAGAGAAACCAGCTGCCACGTTCCAGGTGTGCCTGGCTATGAATAACCTCTTATGCTTGGTAATGCTCTGCTCCTGCAAACCCACAGGTAAAAACTTCTTTGCAAAGCTGCTGTTTTGTTGACTGAAATGGAATCGTACAAATGTACAAGTGCCTGTAGGATTGCAGATCTATTAATGCACTGAAGTTATTTTCAAATGCTTTACCCAGTCCCACTAATGTGAGACTGCCAAGAGTATGCTCAGATTCTGCATTTCACAATATGCTACCAAATGTCCTTATTTTTCAGATTTTAAAACAAAAGATGGAAGGAAGAACATGATTTGTAGTCTCTTGCTCTGATTTGCTGTGGATTGCTTTCTTTTGATTTTAGAAAAAAAAAAAGGTAATTTAAGACAATAAAAATGTACGTATTGTAAGACCTTTCTTTTCTGTACTTTTTTCTTTTTTTTTTCTGAAAACCCAATCTTAAACCAAATAATGAAAATATTAAAATCTTCATTATAGATGCAATTTATAAATTTTATAATTTTTTTATATCCATGATAGACTGATAGACACAATCTAGTCAGATTGTGTATAGGTTCCTTTTTTAGTACCAGCTTCCCCCAAACTAAAAGCATGTCCAAATTCATACATGTTTGTTAATATTCAATATTAGCAATAGTAATTTATTAATAACTAGATTATGCCTATGAAAATAAAGAAATGGGTGAGGTTACAAAAGGGATAAATAGGCTGCACAACCCTTCCATTATGGAGTCCTTTTTATTCCCCCCTCCCCCACTGGTCTCACTTTAATCATCTGTTCTGACTCCTCTTTGCTTTTGTGCTCAAAAGCCATTAGATGGCGATGAAACTGCTAGCACTCAACAGCTCTGCCAGCTCTGCCAGTTACTGGGGAGAAAGTCCAGGCTTCAGGAACGTGGGTGGGTGCCAGGAACTGAGAAACTGAGACCAGCACAAGCCGCACACTAGGCTATGTGCATCAGGAGAGGCAATTCAGAGGAGGCAAAAAGCACTACCTGCGTGCATGAGGTATTGTGGTGGATGACATGGTGACCTGAGACATCATTTCTCCACAATGTAACGTTTTCTGTCTCCTGACACAAGTGGCACTCAGTTTAGAGGTACTTGCGTAGAGGCAAGAGATTGTCAATAGGCAGAATAGCAATATTTGAGTGTTGGAGAGGTAGGAGTTCCTGGCTCCTGCTTTCTATGTGCAAATGTATGTTCTAAACTAGGAAGAAAAACCACCAGCTCTTTGTGAGATTCCCAATCACTGCTGTACAAGAATAGTGGAGTCGAATAAAAATGAATCTCTTGTATTTTTCAGGCAGTTTGTCCACATTTTCTTGAAAGCAAGTACTAAGCAGTGTCAGGGGAAGTGGGATACACAATGAAGAACACAGAGCTATACAATTTCTACTCAGCTCTATGCATATCCTTGTTCCTAGTGGACTTAAAGGAAAGCAGGCTTCCCCACCACAGAATTAATCCCTGCTCTTTCTAACTCTCTGTCCAGCCTTAAACTTGGTGCTCCAAAGGTATCATAACCCATCTATTGATGTTTCTTCTCTACACTCCTCGGAGCTGCATCTTGTTGTGACAGAAGTATCAAGTGAAAAATGTGAGAGAACTACTGTCCAAGTCAGCAGACACTTTTGGGAGAAAGCAGTCACGGCTGAGGCAGCACCTTTGTCCCCACTGAGCCCAGTGTTCCCATGACAGAAAGCCCCAGGCTTTGTAAGGTGCAACTAATCTTCAAAAATTCAGCCGTCCCCTCTCCAGTGACATGTTGCATGACAGGGATGTGCATGGCCACAGCTTTACATCACATCCCCTCGAACATTCTCCCTTTGCTCAGGCTGCTGTTCTGGACAAAAGATTAAGAATTAAAACTGTGATATGCATGTTCCAAGTCAGAACAGCCTCAAGGAAGAAAAGAAACTAAACCAGCCCAAGCCAGTCTAAGCTGCTTTCAAACCTGTGTGGAAAAACAGTATGGTTGCAAGCAAAATCTGCCCTGCAGAAAGTTCTTTCTGGTAACAAGAATAATGTAAAGAGAACAGGCCAAAGAGACACAAGGTGGGGATGACTCTGCTCTGTGCAGAGCAAGACTCCCTAGGCACTGAGAGCTTCTGAAGTCTTGGCTCCAAGGATTCTCCTGGACTAGCTATCTGCTAACTTGGATTTTGTGCAGTGTGTGGTGGATGTTGGTATTATTATGATACACAGCTTATAGTCTTTTACCCACCCTGCAGTGATCCTTCATAAGCTTCCAAGTTTGCCAACTGAGACTCCATTATCTGAAAAACTGTAATAACGTTGTCTTGCATGGCATGTTCACCAGGAGCAGGGGGGGGGATGTCTACAAATCCTGCTCAGAGCTCTGACCACCTCTGTTCCCAGGTGCTGCCTGTGCAGAGAAAACTGTCCTTCCTACACCTCTCCCTGGCATGCTAATTCTTTAATCCTGCACCTATATTTTATTGCTTGCACCCTGATGTTTCATGTAGCTTTATCCTGGTTCTTTGTGTGCTGTGGACTTTTGCTAGAAATTGTACTTTGGACGATGATGCAGAACAGCTCCTACACGGTGTTCCCCAGCCTCACCAGTTCACCACAAGGGGAGCTGCGGGAAGAGACAAGTAACAGAGTAGCTCCAGTGGTCCCTGATGGGACCAGACTTTCTCCTGTTCCCTTAGTACAGCCTGAGCTCCCAGATGAACGTCATCCAGTCACTTTTTCCCAGTAATCCCATGGAACGGCAGCTTGCCCAGGAGCCCGAGAGGGATGCCAGCCCCACTCACAGGGCAGCAGCGCTACCTCGAGGCCAAATCCTACAACAAACCCATGTGACAGACCTGAGGCTGTGGGCAGCTCCCTCCTGCTCCCGCAGCACTTTGCGTTTATTCCCCATGGACAGAGACTTCTCACATGCCCTTTGGCTCTGCCTTGTTTCAGGGCGGGGGTGGTGGGCACTTTGTGGGATCTCCCCTGGAGAGTGCGGGAGAACAGCGCCCTCGACGACCACGTTCACAGGCCTCCCCTTCTGTCCCTATTCCCGCACTGGCCTATTCCAGTCTTTTTCCAGCACTGGCCTTGCCGGCGTAGGGCTCTCTCACCCGTATCCCTCCCCAACTCTGTCTTCACCTGCTCTCAGGGCTCGGTGGGGCTGGCTGGGCACAGCCTGTCTCTGTTTCTGTCGCTATCCCTGTCCCTATCCCTGTCCCCGCCCCTGTCCTTCTCCCTGTCCCTATCCCCGTCCATGCCAGCCCCCGCTCCAGCCCCGCCTCCTGGCCCCGCCCCGGTCCAACCACAGAGTCGGAACCTCCGAGGGGGAGCGAAGGGCGGCGGAACCATAGAGTTGGGGCGGCCCCTTCCGGAGCGCGGTTCCGCGCGCCAGCCACACGGTGCCAGTGCAAGATGGCGGCGGGGCCGCGGAGGCGGGCGCGGGCTGAGAGGGCCGCGGCTGCACCGGGACGGAGCCCGGCCCGGCCCGGCGGAGGGGTGAGAGCGGTGGGCGGTGCTGGATTGCGAGGAGAAAAGAAGCGAGGAGAAGGCGGTGGTTTGCGCTCCCGTCTTCTCTTCCTCCTTCTGTTGGGGGAGGAGAAGGGAGGGCTTTCTGCCCCATTCCTCAGTGGCCAAAAAAGTCATAAATTTAGTGCTTGATTTTTATTTTTTTTTCCACCTTTGTATGTTAACTTGTTGCATTGAAACTCTGCTTTGAGTCCTAAGAAGATTTGGGATCGAGGTTTCAGGAAGTTTGTTCTCTTTCTCTTTACCCGTTAAATGGTAGAAATGTGGGAAATACGGGGTGTAAATATAACTGTTACCTCTGTGTGGTGAGCTTCCCACCTAAAGAAATGATAGTGTCTTGCAAAAAACCCCCAGTATTTTGTCAGGCAATTAGGAGTGGAGGTAGAGGGAGAGCAAAACTGAGAGAGAAGAAACATCCCGGACTGTAGTTTGAACGCTTAGATAGTCATCTGTAAGGTGAAGAAATGTCAAAAGACAGGAAATAATCTTTTCCAGAATAACCCTTTCTTTGGTCATCACAACACAGCTTGAAATAATGCTGATGGAGACAGAGAGCACAAGTGGGCTCTGGGGAGGTGAAGAAGACAGGGATGTGTGCGGCACACCTGCTGATGGATACAGTGGGTACTGGGGAGGAACAGCAGTGGCAGCTTAGAATCTGAGGAAGGGAGGAGATTTGGGGGGAAACATTTGCAACAGAGGTGAAAACTGGAGAGCTCTTGTGAGAGTAAATGAGAAGATGAACTCTGATATGCTCTTAGAAAAATAGAATATGTGTTTCTGCCCCCCCCCCCCCCCCCCGCACCCCTTCACAGTGTAAGCACAAAGCTTCTTGGTTTGCATATTAGTGTGAATAATGACAATTATCAATTAGTTTAAAATTATTTCTTAGTGAAGTAGTAGTAAGTAGGTACTTAGTTAAATTAGTAGTATTTAATTAGAGTAGCATGAGCTTGAAATTGGGTGTTTGAGATATTTGAGGGTGCAACCTCAGTGCAATGAAGAGAAGAGAAATAATAATTAAGCTATCAGTGCATAGGACCTGAAACTGTATAATCTTTTCCAGGTCTCTCCCTATTTTTTAAGTTCGTTTTTTGAGGCAGAAGAAAAAAGATCAAAATGGGGCGGAGATCTACATCGTCCACCAAGAGTGGGAAGTTTATGAATCCCACCGATCAGGCCCGTAAGTATCCATAAAAGCTAAGCAGATGGGAATGGGGGGAAGCAGATAAAAAGCTTTTTCTGAGGATAAGATCCTCACTCATGAATCAGAACCGAGTGTCCCTAACTTGAAAAACATCTCAGTTTTGGCTAAGAAGGCTTCTTGCTTTCATGCTGTTGCTTCTCTGAGTATTTCTCTCTTGGTTCTCACTGTGGTTATCAGTTTGTATTTAGCTGTTAGTTAAACTGCAGGCTGCTTCCTGGGACAAAGTTAATCTGACTGAGATTGGAATTTGAGGAACATGTCAACTTTTGTAGGTGCTCTGGTTAGATGAGGGAGTTGTTTTAACTGGTTTTTTTTTGCTTTTGGTAACTTGTCAGATGTTATCAAGGCTAAATACATAAAGAAAATCTAGACTTACATGGTGGAAATGCTTTATTTCAGATGCATACTCAAAACCTAGATATTTTTCAAGTGTGTTGTCTGTTGACTCTGTTTCAGCTTCTGTGCAGCAATCTTTTCGTGGTTGCACGTATTACTATGACTTCTGTTGCCTGTTCTATTTTTTGTATGGAAAAAGTTCTGCTTCTGGAGACATGAAGACTGCAGTATCTCCTTTTTTTTTCCTGTATAAAACACGTGAAACAGAAATCTATTTCATGCTGTATTTCTCTCTCAGTGGGAAGTTGAGTTACAGTTACAGTCTTTGAAGATG